GTGCATGATAAAAGTTAGTAATGTTTAGAAAAAAATGAATTTGAAAAAGTAAAAGTGAATAGCGTTTAATAAAATAAGTCATTTTTGTGTAACAGGAAAAGTAAAAAGAATTTTACAATACTTCTCAACCTACTTCAAGCTTTTAGCTTTTAAGTGATTAATTTAAATAGAAACTATCATTTGAAAACACTCATTTCAGATTTTGTTAATTCAGGAGGTGAAAAACACTTTTTTTACTCTCTTGCAAACACTCCCCAAGCCCAAATGCAAATTACTTCTCACAATCGAAGGCAAATAGGCAATTTTTTTTGTGAATTCTGCACAGAACAGGGTTTGAGATTAGGTAGTGATGGACAGTGTACCCGGAGGTAGCTTATCCGAGGGGTTATTATGAGAATAACCTAGAGAGAAGTCAGAGCAAACAAGTAGGAGAGAGAAGCGATTATATTAATGAACTCGAGATGTTCTGGTCTTTTACAATGGGGAAAGTGTAATACCCGAGTTTAATATAAGAGGATTAATAGTACTACTCATACCAACAAGATGCATCTCCTTTTAAGGGAGCTCATCACCAAGAACTCCAAAGTTAAGCGTGCTTGCACGGGAGTAGTCTTGGGATGGGTGACCCCCTGGGAAGTTTCTCAGGGCGCGCACGAGTGAGGACAAAGTGCGCGTAAAAGGCTAGTGGCGGTTTGTGAGGACAGTACTATTGGTCCGGAGTAACTACCTCGGGTCCCACGGGGCCGGGGTGTTACAGAAAGGGGCCACTACTTATAGTAGTAATAAATGCGATGAGAGTACACGTGGCGTAATCTAACGGCCGAGGGGTCACCTCAATCGGGTGGCACTGACAATTGCATGTGCACCGCATTGAATGCGGTGAGTGGATGTGACGTGACATTAAATGCGGTGGTTGCTTGTCTCCAAAGGGAATCTTTTCGATGATTGAGTTGTTGGCCGAGGGCTCCCCCTGGCCCCTGTAGCCGAGGGCCCGTGTAGCCGAAGGCGTCGTATAGCCGAAGGCGTCGTATAGCCGAAGGCGTCGTATAGCCGAAGGCGTCGTACAGCCGAAGGCGTCGTACAGCCGAAGGCTTCCCTGATCGAGTTGGTAGCTGAGGGCTACTGTTTTACGTCGTTTTCTCCCAGTAGTTTCGTATGCTCAAACATGGCTGCCCTGTGTGATTTGGAGCCTTCGGCCAAGGGGGCCGAAGGCACCCCAATGTGTATTTTAGGCTTCTTTGAGACTTGGGCCGCTGCATTTGGGCCTCGATGCTCCTTAGGCCCACGGGGCCTGTGTAGGAGAGGTAGGAGTCTATGGGCCAGGGGTCCATGGGCCATATACTCCATCAGGTAGATTCTATGGTACCCTTAAGGTACCATCCCTTTGTCCACATGGACCAATCAGAATGATGCAGTTGAATTATTAATATCTAAATTTAATAGGATATAATGATTTGGACCAATCAAATGCATTGCAGATACAATACCTCATTTTTTAAATGAGTAGCGGAGTTGTCACCTTGAAATTATAGTCCATCCGTATAGCTGTTAGACATCCTCAGGTAAATAGACAATTTGAAAAATGGAAACGGCAATTGGCCGACCGAGGATGTACAGTGTACAAAAGAAGTTCGAGATTATAAAGCCTCATATTTAAACCTAAACTTGAAGAGAGTAGTTGGAGATGATAATATAAAGCCTATTTAGTATCATTCTAATCGACTCAATCGTCTTATTCTGCTGAGATTTATGAAGTTTAGACTTAAATGACTGAATTAAATGTTTCTCCTGATTTATAAAAAATTATATTTCAAAATTTATTTGTTAATAAAATAAAAAAAAATACATGAAAAAATAGCTAAAATGACTTTCTATAGTAACTTCAGTCAGTATAGTCAGAAAAGTAATTACAGTACAACTTTACTTTTCTTATTATTATACAATTAAGCCCGCAAAATTAAAGTTACATGTTTAGTAAAAAGTTGACTAATAAGGCTGATAAGCCGGAAAATATGGTCACCAAACGGGTTCATAATAGTTTGGATCGTACCGTTACTCATGACATTTTTCATTGGATCAATGTATGATCATGAACCGGTTTGACTCTAATATCATTTTAAGAATTGAGTTTCATTCCAAAAGTCATCCAAAATTTTACGTAGTACTCCCTCTGTCCCGTTGAAAAGTTCGCACTTTCTTTATTTGTGTGTTCCATTTAAATGTTCTCATTTCATTTTAGAAAATAATTTATTCTCTTTAATTGCACTTTAACTTAAATTTCTCTTTGTTACTTATTGCATGTCAAGTCTCATTATTCCTTCTCTCCTAATTTATCTTCCTTTAATTACATTCACTTCATGTGTTTATTTTTTATAATTTTCTTTTTCTCCTCATTTTTATCTAAATTATTTTATCAACCACTTATTAAAAAGTCGTGTCATTTCACTCCTTTATGTAGAGACCGTGGGTAATTTTGTAAAGGGAATGAAGATCTGGTGTTGGCATTCCACACCATCCAAAAAAGAAACTACACAAACGCCTTTTCACGAAATTCGGTTGGGTGGAGTTTTATTTGTCTACCGACCTAGCTGAGTAGAGTTCCAATATATTATATATAGGCTAGTCTTACTCTCAAGTTGGGTGGAGTTTTATCTAAAAAAGAAAGTCGGTTGGGGTTTTGGACGGTTGGCACTATTTTTTAAAGAAAGGATATTTATTATTACCTTCATCGTACTAAGTTACTAACATTGAGATATAAATATGTTAAATTGATATAAATATTTATGTGACTCATGTTAAATTGATGAAATAAGAATAAAATAACAATGATTTAAAGTCACAAATTTTATCAAAATTGATATAAAACAATCTTAGTAGGACATATCGAAAAGAAAATATGAGATAATTTTAACGGGACGAAGAGAGTACTACTTAATAAAGAGAAAGCAAAAGAAATTACAAATAAAGGAAAAGGTGAAAACAAATAAACAAAAGCATGCAAAAATAACGAGGCCCCAATATCTCAATATCTTTTGGGACTAAGGCTTGGATGTTGTTGTTGTATGCAAAAATAACGAAGGCCCCAATATCTCAATATCTTTTGGGACTAAGGCTTGGATGTTGTTGTTGTATGCAAAAATAACGAGGGGTATTGTGGCGGGGCAGTTGACAATGGTAATAGGTGCAGGGGTAATTTTGTCCAAAAACAAAGTAACTTCAACTAATTCAGTCAAAAAAATAAATCCAACCTTGCTTATTATGATTATTATACAATTCAGTGACCAACATCAAATTTATGTACTTGATGAAAAAGTTGATTGATAAGGCTAAAAAGGATCACCAAACGGGCCCTTAGATGTATATTGTGTATGCTAGATCAAAAAAGATTGGTGTACACAAAATTTGTAAACAAATTTTGTGTACACCTAGCTCCACCCAGCTCCACCCACGATGGTACTCTGTACATTTAAGTGTTTGTTACAATAAAGTTTGACAGAATGATTAAGGGAAGAGAAGTGGGGTAAAGAAAAGATGAAAACTAGAAAAGACAAAGATAATTGAAAATTTGTAAAAGAAAAACTTATCAGGAAAATGACAAAAAAAAATACATCCAAAAAATAAGTGTATTAAACAAAAGTTGGAGTATTACTCCGTATATTACAGAGTACTATTCAGGAAGTGATATGGGTAATGTATTCTTCTTAAAAACAAACTGAAAAGTGAAACTCTAATGCTAAAGATAAAACCATTGCAATCAATATACATGCGTTGTTGCTCATACGGAGTAATATACACTGCTTAAGGATATGTTTGTATTTTGACATTCTATTCACTTAATATAAATATATAGGGCTCTATTAGCTCTATTAGGAAAACTGCTTTTTGTTGTAAAACCCAGGAAATGACAAGCGTGAATTGTTCATCCTTGTCATCATCCTTGTAATCAGGACACTAAGCTTCTTACCATCCTTGTAATCATAGATAGATAGATGACAAGTTCTAATGATGCCAGCAAGATGTGTAGAATTACTCCTTGATGATTCATCACCAAGCCCAACTAGTATAAATAGGGCTTGATCTATCACTTGTAAAGATACTTAAAAAATTCAGAAACTGAGAAATTTCAGAGATTAAGAAGAAGTTATTTAGAGCTTTTTAACAATATATCTATCTCTTTGTTTAGTCTTCATCTTCTTCATTTCACAACACGTTATCAGCACGAATCTGTTCAAGACTCCCCGAGAAATCAGCTCAAATTTATCACCAACCATCATCTCCTGCAGGTATTAACATTAATATTATATTATCTTCTTTAATCTTGAGCTATATATCACGCATGCATGATAAACATGCACTTCAGCATTCAAATTTTGAAAGTACGCTCAGTTACGTTTTTCAAAATAATTAAAATCATACATATGATTGTACTAATAAAAGAATTAAAGTAAACATACCTTCAAAGCTTCATCAACACGTTTTTCTCTTTCTATCTTGATACATAACTCGGTCTCTTAAAATGATAGCTTAAGAATAAACTAATACGAAGTATGACTTGAGAGAAAATATACATACTTCATACTTGACATCGAAGTAGGAGATTGCTTCGTAATAATGAGTAGTAAGAAAGATAATGAAAGAAGATACAGAGTACTAAATAAAATAAAACAGTTACAGACGAAAGGTAGAAATGAGGCTTAAATCATGAATAAATAAATAAATAAATATATATATATATATATATATATATATATATATATATATATATATATATATATATATATATATATATATCAAAGATAACTTAGAGGTTCACGGGCTTATACAAATATATTTGACAATCTGTCCGGCTGTCTATGCATTAGCTCTTTTCACGGGTTTTGTTTATTAGTGACTTGATAATAAGAACAAAACTAGAGTGTTGTTTTTAAGTTCTAGACTATTCAAATATCAACTAGATATTACGGGTTGATACAAATGACATTAAAATAATCAGACTTCCTGCAATAGCCAGTAGGCTATATTCAGTGGCGGATGGCCTAGTGTTCAAGAGTATTCAGCTGAACTATCAAAAATTTCAAGAAAATTTTATCAAAACGACGTCGTTTTGATGTGTTTTACAAAAAATTAGAATATACACTGTCGTTTAGCTCTTACGCGGCAGTCCAACCTAGCCCAAATGCCCAATCCTGATTTCCTGAAAATCGGAGCTGCTACTTCTCATCCTCCAGACCAAGAGTGAAGAACTAAAGATCTCCGGCTCGAAGGCACTCAAGTAGAGTCCAAGCTCCAGATTCTCCGGCGACCAGTCCGACGGCCGCCGCGAGTCCGCCGGTTCCGCCCCTGCCGCGCTCACGCTCTGGTCAGTCTGGTGCTTTGTGAGTTGCGTCAGCAGATCCGCACACAGGACACACCCAAGCGGCCAAGCTCCAGCCTCCGGCCCTCCACTCCTACAGCCTTTAGGCTCCAGATTCTACTGTTGTACTGCACTACTGCAGGTAGTTGATTGCTTCATTTGCTTGCTTTGTTTATGTATTTCAAACTTGTATTTTAATTTTTTATTTTTGAGTTTGAAAATCGAAGAAGTATGATGATTAATGAAGAATGATGTTATGATGATGTAGTGATGCACTGATGTAAGGCTGCAGATTATTGAAATAATGAAATGCTCCCAATCTCTTTATCTTTTCTGCCCCTTTTTCAGAGTTGATAAATTTGGAGTGATAAAATTATTTACTGATATTTGATATATGAAGTGGCCGAGAGTAAAAAGAAGTAGATAGGCAGTCTCCTGGCACTACTTTGTAGGTGTCCAGTGTGTAGAAAATCAATGACCCACTAGATAGAATTTAGCTAGATAACTATTAAATTGAATGAGTTGTTAGTTGGTTTAGTATTTATATCGTCTCGTGACATTCATTGAGAGGGATGTGTTTATGACTATTAGCAACGAAGATATTGTACTCCCTCCGTCCCTGAATGTTGTTCCAATTGCGGATTACGAAGGTTGACCGACGATAAAGTTAAATGATCCCTGTGAAAACTCGAATTATTTTTAGTAAATAAAATTTACATATTCAGAAACTACATTAAACCCGCTACAAAGCCTGCAAAAAAAATCAATTTTCATAAAGTTTTGATACAAAAAGTAAGAGTTTAAGAGTGATTTAAGTTGACTCTCGAAAAGCGAAATGGAAGTAAATTTAGGGATAGAGGGAGTAGATTATTTTCAAAACAACATGACCACCAGGAAAAATCAGTTTATGTACGAGTTTCTTAGACTTTATTATTATATATGTTATGGAGTTTGTTTTGCTTTTTAATGTAGTAGTTTTTTTATTGATAAAGATACAATTGTTGAATTTTAGCATTGTATATGATTATTGTGATACTTTGAACTTTACTTTAGTTTTGAACACCCAAAATGTAAAGGCTAGATCCGCCACTGGCTATATTCAGTCTGCATAAATTTGTTTTGCCTCATATTAATAGTTAGACTCACGGGTAGTATAAAAACAAAATCAACCACTAGGTTTAATAAAATTTAGTGGCATGGTTACTGGTTACGCAAAGACCATCTTTTCCAGTCGCAAAATTTATATATACTCCGTAAAATAAGTATAATACTCGAGTTAAGTAAAGATGATGATGAAAATCAAGAAAAATTATTACTCCAATTTCTAAATATGATTCAGTTTAGTCCGTACTCATTAGTGAGTTTTACGGAACAAATAATGTTCTTATATACGGTTTTACTAATTAATTGTACACCAATAATTCTTGTAGTACAATGGCAAATATAAGCAAAAGAGAATTTGATGTTCTTGATCTGTCTGGCCAAAAATATTTGGAATGGAAAGTGGATGCTTTAGCACATTTAAAGGCCAACGGTCTGGAAGACACTATTGAGGCAAATAAGCCATCATCTTCCCAAGACAAAGCGAAAGCTATCATTTTCCTCCGTCATCACCTCCATGAAAGTCTCAAATCTGAATATCTTTTGATTGATGATCCAAAAGAATTATGGGACAATTTACAAGAGAGGTATGGCCACCAGCAAAAGGTACTTTTGCCAAAAGCTCAGTATGACTGGATCAATTTAAGATTCCAAGATTTTAAATCAATCAGTGACTGTAATTCTGCCATGTTCCAAATAACATCTAAACTAAAGTTATGCGGACAAAAAGTCACTGATGCTGATATGTTGGAGAAAACCTTTTCTACAATGCATATTTCTAATATGCTGCTACAGCAGCAATATAGAGAAAAGGGTTTTAAAAAGTACTCCGACTTAATATCAATATTATTGGTAGCTGAGCAAAATAATGACCTTCTGATGAAAAATCATAATTTGAGACCCACTGGTTCTAGTCCTTCTGTTTATGGTGCATCTGGCCATCATTTAGCCACTGAATCAAATGCAACATACAGTGGCAGTAGAAGGCATTTTAAACGTGGGCATTTTAATGGTCATAAAAACAAGTCACACCGAGAATACAAACAGGTCGAAAGACCAAATTTCAAGGGCAAGGGCAAACAAAAAGCCCATCAAATAAACCGCCCTCCAAAATCCTCGGGAAAGTTGACTTGTTATAAATGTGGCATGACGGAGCATTGGGCTAATAAATGTCGCACGGCTAAACATCTGGTGGAGTTATTTCAAGCTTCCATGAATCTGAACAAAGGCAAAAATGTGGAAGCTAATTATGTTAATGACACAACTCCACCTCTGCCAAAATTTGACGTGCCCGACTTCTTTGTGGATGATGCCATTATGGACGATGCGTTTGCCATAAACCAAAATGTCACAAAATAAAATATTCGACTTCTTATGTTGTAACATATTAGTTTTATGTACTTTTTCTTTCTTCCTTTTTTATTTTGTTTTTAAATAAATGTGTGTAATAAATGTACTTTTATGTTAAATAATATGCATAATTTGTGATATCTACATATCAAACTTATGTTTATTTGTATATATTGAAGATATGGATCACTCAAATGATAAAGAGCTATGTCTGATAGACAGCGCCACAACGCACACCATTTTGAGAAATAAAATATATTTTTCTCAAATGACTTTAGTTGAGGCTAAAGTCAATACAATATCAGGTGTTGTGAAGCTCATTGAAGGTTCTGGGAAAGCATATGTGATGCTCCCTAATGGGACAAAATTACTTATAAATGACGCTTTATACTCCAGCAAATCGCGGAGAAATTTATTAAGCTTTAAAGATATGCGTCAAAATGGTTATCACATAGAAACCATGAATGAAAACCAAAAGGAATATCTTTGTCTAACGACAACTAAATCTGGCACTAAATGTATTTATGAAAAAATGCCAGCATATTCCTCGGGACTATATTTCACTCATATTAGTCCATTCGAAATAAATTTGGTTTCTAACGCAAAGTTAGATGATCAGAAAACATTCATGTTGTGGCATGACCGTTTAGGTCACCCAGGCCAAGTAATGATGCATAAAATCATTAAGACTTCACTTGGACACCCATTAAAGAATATCAGGGTTCCATTATCAAGTGATTTTCCTTGTAAAGGCCTGTTCTCTTGGCAAAATGATCATCAGGCCTTCTTTGAACAAAATTGCAACTGAATCACCTGCATTTTTAGAAAGGATTCAAGGAGATATTTGTGGGCCGATAGCCCCACCATGTGGACCATTTCGATATTTTATGGTGTTGATTGATGCTTCAACACGTTGGTCACATGTTAGTCTTTTATCGACTAGAAATTTAGCATTTGCTAAACTCCTTGCTCAAATTATACGATTAAGAGCTCATTTTCCGGATCATTCTATAAAGAGAATCCGACTTGATAATGCAGGAGAATTTACTTCCCAATCATTTAACGACTATTGTATGTCGATTGGGATTGATGTGGAGCACCCTGTTGCTCATGTCCATACACAAAATGGTCTTGCTGAATCTTTGATTAAACGATTACAATTAATCGCTAGACCATTATTAATGAAGTGTAATTTACCTTCATCAGCTTGGGGACATGCTACTTTGCATACAGCAAATTTAATTCAGCTTAGACCGACTGCATATCATGAATATTCCCCAATGCAATTAGTTACTAGACAAGAGTCAAACTTAGCACACATAAAAATATTTGGTTGTGCTGTTTATGTTCCGATTGCTCCACCTCATCGTACAAAAATGGGTCCTCAAAGAAGGTTGGGAATTTATGTTGGATTTGAATCTCCCTCAATAATAAAATATGTTGAACCGATGACTGGTGACTTATTCACCGCACGGTTCGCTGACTGTCATTTCAATGAGGCAGTATTCCCAACCTTAGGGGGAGAAACTAATAAATCGGACCCAAGTACGAAAGAAATAACATGGAATGCAACAGGATTATCACACCTTGATTCTAGATCAAATATATGTGAGCAAGAGGTGCAAAAGATAATTCATTTACAAAATGTTGCAAATCAGTTGCCTGATGCATTCACAGATACAAAGAAAGTGACAAAGTCACATATTCCTGCTATAAATGCTCCTGCCAGAATCGAAATTCCAGCAGAGAATTCTGAAAAATCTCTTGCAATTGATTCTTCTATACGCAAAAAGCGTGACAGGCCACTTGGATCAAAAGATATAAAACCAAGAAAAACTAAAAGGCAGGAATTGATCTGTGATGCCAAAGATGTTCATCCTTCTGAACAAGAAAATGAACAATTTGAAAATACTGGCATAGAAAATGATATTGACAAAACAAACATCTCAAATAATGATCCAACTTCCTTAAATGAGGAAGATGTTCCAGATAATGATAGAAACGTTGATAATTATGAAATTTCAATAAACTACGTTTCTACTGGAATGCAATGGAATCGAAAAGATATTGATATTAATGAGATATTTGTCTATGCCGTTGCCACAAATGTAATGAATGAAAACAATGACAATGAGCCAACATCAATTGAAGAATGTCGGAAACGACACGATTGGCCAAAATGGAATGAAGCTATTCAGGCTGAATTAAAATCACTTGAAAAACGTGATGTTTTTGGACCGATAGTCCCTACGCCCAAAGGCGTAAAACCTGAGGGTTTTAAATGGGTATTTGTGCGTAAACGCAATGAGAAAAATGAAATTGTTAGATATAAAGCCCGACTTGTTGCCCAAGGTTTTTCTCAAATGCCGGGAATTGATTATGAAGAAACCTATTCTCCAGTAGTCGATGCGACTACATTAAGGTTTCTCATTGGCATGTCTGTTTTTGAAAGGCTGCAAATGCGCCTAATGGATGTAGTGACCGCATATTTATACGGTTCACTCGATACAGACATTTATATGAAAGTCCCCGGTGGATTTAAAATGCCTGAAGCTTATAGCTCGAAACCTCGAGACATGTTTTCTATTAAATTACAAAAGTCATTGTATGGACTAAAACAATCTGGACGAATGTGGTATAATCGTCTCAGTGAATACCTTCTCAAAGAAGGATATAAGAATGGTCCAATTAGTCCATGTGTTTTCATTCGGCAATCAAATTCGGGATTCGCCATAATTGCAGTATATGTTGATGACCTAAACATTATTGGAACTCCCGATGAAATTGAAAATACTGCAAATTATCTTATGAAAGAATTTGAAATGAAAGATCTCGGGAGAACCAAATTTTGTCTCGGACTTCAAATTGAGCATTTGAAGAATGGAATTTTCATCCACCAATCCAATTACACCGAGAAAGTGTTGAAGAGATTCTATATGGACAAAGCTCATCCTTTGACTTCACCAATGGTCATTCGATCTCTCAACATACACGATGATCCATTCCGTCCCCGAGAAGACGACGAAGAAATACTCGGTCCTGAAGTACCATATATGAGTGCTATTGGAGCTTTAATGTATTTAGCTAATAATACTAGACCAGATATTGCATTTTCTGTAAATTTATTAGCTAGGTACAGTTCATGCCCAACAAGACGTCATTGGAACGGGATCAAGCACATATTCCGTTATCTACGTGGTACAGTTGATCTCGGCTTATTCTACCACAAAGATGCAAAAGCTGCTTTAATCGGATATGCAAACGCTGGATACTTATCAGATCCTCAAAAGGCGAAATCACAAACCGGGTACGTATTTACTTATGGTAACACCGCAATCTCATGGAGATCTATGAAGCAGACATTGACAACTACATCATCAAATCATTCGGAGTTAATTGCATTATATGAAACCGGAAGAGAATGTGTGTGGTTGCGGTCTATGATTCAACACATCCAAAATGAATGCGGTATGAAGCCTATTACTTGTCACCCGACTGTGATCTACGAAGACAACACTGCGTGCATAGCTCAAATTAAAGAAGGCTACATCAAAGGAGATAGAACGAAGCATATATCTCCAAAATGTTTCTCTACTCACGACCTTGAGAAAGAAGGGACGATCAACGTTCAGCAAATCAGATCCAGTGAAAATCCAGCCGATCTCTTCACCAAATCTTTACCCCCGAAGAAATTCGTTGAACTTGTACACAAAATCGGCATGCGCCGCCTTAATAATTTATGCTAAATTCAGGGGGAGTATTTGAATGCACTGCACTCTTTTTCCCTTCATCAGGTTTTTATCCCATTGGGTTTTTCCTGATAAGGTTTTTAACGAGACAATACATCCAAATACAACGACATTATATGTCATAATCTTTACCCCTTAATTTTCACACTAATCTTCACAATAAATTTTTAAATACAAATAACTATTCTCAAGGATGAACATTCAAGGGGGAGTGTTGTAAAACCCAGGAAATGACAAGTGTGAATTGTTCATCCTTGTCATTATCCTTGTAATCAGGACACTAAGCTTCTTACCATCCTTGTAATCATAGATGGCAAGTTCTAATGATGCCAGCAAGATGTGTAGAATTACTCCTTGATGATTCATCGCCAAACCCAACTAGTATAAATAGGGGTTGATCAATCACTTGTAAAGATACTTAAAATTTTCAGAAACTGAGAAATTTCAGAGATTAAGAAGAAGTTATTTAGAGCTTTTTAACAATATATATATCTCTTTATTTAGTCTTCATCTTCTTCATTTCACAACACTTTTATAATTTTTAAAAAGAAATTGGATATATTGTTGGGCGGATAAAAATGAACTCTTAGAAATTTATGATCATGTTAGAGTGTTAGACTAACTCACTAACTTTGACAAGAATTTAATATTGTATGTATTGCTCAAGAAAAAATGTTGGAATAAAAAAAAGATCATGAACATGTCACTGAAAAGACCATGAACTTAAAAGTTAAAAAATAGGTAAAATATCTGCCACAAATTGTTCTTTTCAAATGAAAAAAAAAAACTTTAAGAGGTTGGTTCGGAGTGGATTTGACTCAAATATCCACCTTCCAACCAACCAGTATAGACTGAAGATCATTTAGAGGTATTTGTCCGACATCCATTAAATATAGGATAATAAACCGATATACAAAATCACACTTCTACCAAGTTGACCTCATAAGATGAACTCCAAGTCTTGACAAAATAACCAAAGAAATCCAAAAGCTGGAGAAAACAAAATAACACAAAAGGTAACCATAACAAAATCCTTTTTGAAGTACAATGAGTATTTGTATCCACGTATGACGTTCTAACAGAAAATAAGGAAAAAATTAAATTAGAACCAAAGGTCCCCTTGTCATCATTATCATCACTTTCTTTACCTATTTCATCATTCCTTTCCTTGTGAAGAATCCATTGAAATTACCCTCACACTATTCTACGTCGTTACCCGCGAGGCACGAAACTACAACAAACACCATATTTTGCCCCTTTGTTTTTTGGAACAAAACAGTCATTATTACTTCGCCATTAAAAATCAATAACCTCGTATGTTATATCAGTCTCGTCGGGTAAATCAAGCAGCTACTGAGAGGAGCTTACTGGGTGGTAATAGTAAGGAGAGTGGACAACTTGTCCCAATCCAAAGACTGGAAGAACTCGTGGGATCTGACAG